AAGATCGGACTCGTGAATAGTAAAATCCGGATAAAAATTGCAGAATTCTGGTTTTCTTTAAAGAAACGTGAAGTTTCTTATGATTAAAGATCGGACTCGTGAATAGTAAAATCCGGATAAAAATTGCAGAATTCTGGTTTTCTTTAAAGGAACGTGAAGTTTCTTATGATGTTCTACTTTAGGACGACAATTCATATAATCCTGGTCGCGCTTCTCAAATATATTGGATGAGAAAATGTTTATACAAGCAGAGACAATCTCTTTTCATCTCTTGGAGATATCATAAGCGAGTGCATATTGTTGTGAGGAAACTTCACGGTGCAACGTTAAAGAACGCTGTGGATAGCATGATGAGATGATCGTGCGAGTGGGAGAAAACTTGATTATATCGTAGCCATGGCAAACACTTACCTTTCGACGCAGTGCGCCGCGGTAATAGCCCAGTTCTCGTTCAACAATGCCGCGCCGCATTTGTGCAGATATGTCTGCGATCGCCATTGACGTAATGAGATCTGCAAGAAAATCCACCACATAATTTGAAAATCAATCACCGTACGTGCGTTGATCGATCTATGCATTATCTTTAATACGTAATAAAATAACTGTTTTTGATGTGGAAAAATCATTATTAAGATTGTGTATATTTCTGCATAATATTTAATATAATCTATTATTGCGATTTTGTTATCGTTTGACAGATGATAGATTGAACTTTAATTTGTGATGATCTCAGACAGGTTTTATTGTAATTCTTTTTAATTGATTTTTTGGAATTACGCATACCAATTACCTTCAAATAATCATCAAATTTGTGATTTACATTAAGGCATTAATGTTTAAGTAAAGTGTATAAATAACATGATAACATAGCAAAATGTTACGCAATTACAATATATCTGCTCTCCAAAATTTTTAGAGTGAATCTGACTCTAAAGAGTGAAATCCTACTCCAAAGAATTTAAGGAATATAAAGAACCTAATTCTATTTAAAAATATAAAAATTCGCTCGTATTATGTAAAGCAAAACGTAAAGAATCAAATTAGTAATCGAGCTAACTGCAAAATGTACAAATAAATGTATAATAAACATACAATAAATGTTTTAATTTATATTTATTTTTATACATCTTGCAATTAGCTCGATTACCGACCTGACTTCTAATTGTTTTGTTGAGCTTCCTCAAGCTCACCTGCCAAGGCCATTTTCCGAAGGAACTTCGCTCACCACCGACGATCTTAGGCTCCGGAAACATTCTTCGTCCGCACACTGCAAGAACAAACAATGTCGAGTTAAATCGCATCAGTCCCAATTGGGCAGTCATGTTGGAGAACGGACGCGCTGCGTTTGTTCGACTGGATGAACCGGTACCGTTGCGCGGATGCGTCGCTCACATAATTCTTTTGTCTGCCTGTAGGCGGAATTAGAATTTTTCTATCGACAATATTGTCTGCGTACTTGCGACACTCGGCGCGCATCTTATTATTGATTACGGGAAATTACTGACGTTAAAATTTACGACTATACTATCATTATTTAAATTAAGTTGTACTATTGCAACTTAGATGATGGTAACTTATATAATGGCATATAAAGTGGTCAAGTCATCGATAATCATGAATTAAAGCGTTTCCTATACTGTAAATAATCGTACAATGTGATTTTAACTGCTTAAATAAACTACAGTAGACGTTATGTGATAATATTAAAAACTAATTTAGGTAAAGTATAATGATAAAGGAAAATTTCGAAAATTTACAAGAAAAGAATGGTTTTGTTAAAGTATCTAAAAATTTTACTAGCTACAGATCTGAAAATAATTTCGTTGGATTGTTAAAATAATGATGTAGGACGCTCAAGCTGGTTGCTATAAATATCAAAACTTTTTGCAGCATTGCTCATGGTACTTGAATTTTCTACATAATTATTTTGATGGTCTAACAAAATTATTTTCAAGTCTGTATATAGCTAAATTTTTAAACATTTCACACAAAATCATTCTTTCCGTGTAAGTTTGGGAAATCTGAAAATTGCGACATATCAAATGACGAGTAAGAAAATTAGAAAATTTTACGGATATAAATCTTCTTCTATACTTAGAATTGTTTTTTACATGTAAAATGTACATGTGCGAGTCTGTGTTAGGATCAATAGAGACGTCTGCCTTGTCAAACGAGAAGTTTAATTAATATTAAACTTGCGGTAATCCACAAAGAAAAGATGAAAGCATCGATCGTTATACGATCAGAAGTTGGATCATCTTCAGGATTTAACTAGGTTAAAATCGAATGGAATAACGTGAATTCCGACAGTGACCTAAATCTAGTTCCACATTTCACCCGTCATTTTGTTTTTAGTCCTGAGACTAGTTCTAGTCGAGTAACGATTCGTTCCGGTTACCCAGTCTGAGAATGATCTAATTTCTTTTATTCATGCACCCGCTCGTGTACGTGAAGTGCACGTCGTAACATTACACCGTAATTCGTTCAACATTTAAGTATTAACCTTGTTTGTAATCCGACATATTGAGGGTCTCCATTGGTAGCGGAAGTTCCATGTCGATCGTAACACTGGCAATCGTTGACAATAAAGTTGTCACCGTTGGTCTCTTTATGATGTCGGGGATTATACTGCTCTCTGTTATCGGTTTGGCTGAAAATTCGAGAAGTATAATTAAAGATTAATTAATTAAGTATTGTTACATTCACATGAAATAAAAAGCGACACAATTTTCTGTAAAAAATTGATATAAAATTAAAATTGCATTGTATTTATATACAATTGAATGTGTTGTTGCAAGAAGATTCAACAGAAGAAAATTCTGAAATACAATTTTGTTGTAATACTAAAATTTACTAAGAACTTTTAGTTTTTCTTGTTATTTAGACTTGTTAGAAGATATTCGTTCCAAGTTGTTGCTCCAGTTGCTTATTTGCATGATTGTGTTTGCCAATTCTTGAAACTTCTTCCATCGCGAGCAAATTCACAAACTACAGAATGCTCACAAAGATTACAATTAATATGTCTTACCAGAAGTCAAAGACTGTATAGGGGATTCCGTAACCGGTTCGGTCGACGACTCTTGAGTCTCCGGTAACTTTTCGGTGGTAGGCGACTGAATCATTATCCAGCCATCCGGAGTTGTTATCGGCGACCAATCAGTTTCCGCTTGTTCTGCGAAGCGAACGAACATAATAAATATAAAACCTAATTGTATTTTAATTAATCGCAAATTCACGATTCTTTTCTTTTAAGGGAATCAGGAATAGATAACTTCGTGATGGCTATTTATTTGTCGAGAAAACAAATTAAATCAAAACTGAATAGAAAAGTAAAGCAGATATGAGCCAACGCGAATATTAATGTGTGATGTTCACAAATTATTTATTAGTCGTAGTAAATAAGTAAAAGCATAACGTTTTGATAAGTTTGCAAATCGAATATGTTTAATTACAGTGGCAAAAAACGTAGTTATGATAACAAAAATTACTAATATTAAGATGTAAACCAAAGTGTGAGAAAAAGCATTAAAAATATAAACTGGACAATATTAAATAAATTCGGAAGTGCATGCTTATGTCAAAATAAATTAATTCCAAAATGAGGTAAAAGCTCATCTACACATATCCAGTAGTATACTTTTGTGATGTATATATGAAAAAATCAGAAGAATATTTTCTTTAAGTTCGTGGACCTATGTTTCTCAGAAAATGTTAGTTTCAAGCAGATATACTATGCTAATTCAAGGCGATGCGAACCGGTTTAATTCTCCAATTTGGATTGGTTGTGAGAAGAGCGAGTTCCGTTTTTTTTCTTGCAAGGTAGCGAAGTGAATCATAGTTATTAGAAGATAATTCGAAGTCTTGCCGCTCAACGAAATGGATAGAGATACACAAGGGAGAGATGACCGTAATTGCGTCGGCGGAAAGTCGGGATAGCCGGTTTGTGAACCGTTAGGACATTATGACATTCTATCTCGACGACGTGTCAGAGTGCTGCGCTATTGACATGGTCCACATAACATCTCCACTCGATTATATTTTCTAGGGTCCGAGGAATGACCTTGGCTTGCATCCATAATGAACTCGGTTCGTTTGGGTAGAATAAAATAACCGCTTGTCGAATGAATATAAAATGCAGACGAATTGCCTATAACTTATGTAGCTCAATATAACTCACTTTTGTGCTGCATGCAATTGAAATGCAATTATATTGTTTAGAGAGATAGAATATCTTTTATAATGTTTTTTATAATATCTTTTATAATATCTTTTAATGTCCTAATGCTCTTAATCTGTTAATGTCCTTTATAATCTTCATATTGTTTTTGTCATTAAGAGTCTTTTGTGTTATTTAATGTTGTTTAATTTTATCTCTTAACGTATTTTTTAAATAAAAATTATAGTAGCGTATTTTTTAAATAATTCCTTTCAGATTCAATAATTTATCTTATTGTAAAAAAAAACACATTATTGTGAACATTTGAGTAATTCCAAAAATGTCGATTTTTTAAAATGTTTCCAAACTTTTTGCCTGGATTATATACTTTGGACAATATCCTTTTGAATAGTAGGACGATATTAAAGTTAAAAATATTGTAAATTATTTTACAAATAAATATTGAAAAAGGCAAAGAACGAATACATACGAAAAGTAAGATTATTTTAATTTATATTTAATTTTTTTACTCGGTAACAAATGGTAGTGGAGTATTAATGTCATTTTACACTTGGCAATGGGCAGTAATCTTATACATGCTCTCATCGTCAGCATCGAGCGACCCTTCGAAGAATTATAGGAAACGTGATTAGCAGTCTTATTCGTTCTATGCCTGTATGCTAATCGGTGAAATTAAAGAAAACGGACGTTCATTGTGTAACCCGACGCCCTTGTCGTCAGTAGAAAATCATGATAGCGATTCACGTTGTATGGCTTGGCACGCTGTATGCATCAAAACGCTGGGAATAGTGAAAACCCGTTGATGGATTGCTATGTAAATTTAATGTCTTTTGCTTTCGTCTTTCGTTTCAGATTGACGATATTAATCATTAAAAATTTTAAATTTTTCTGCTTTTAATGCAGTGATAGTCATTGTCGAAAATAATATATTACGATTAATATTACAGTTAAATATAATAGTTAAATATAACAGTTAAAATAAGCTGTTGATTATCTAGTTGGATTTGATAAAGTTATTATATTCTAATAAAAAGAAAACCAAAAAGTAATTAACTTTATTCACCTGACGATGAAGCTACCGTCGGTGTTGACGTTAACGTTAACGTTGACGTCGACGTTGACGTTGACGTTGGCGTTGGCGTTGACAACGTTGATGTTGATGTCGACAAAACTGTTTTGTTGGACGCCTTTGTAGAAACTTCATCGGAGTTCGAGCTCCACGTTACCAATCCTGGCGAGTAAGTAGTCAACGGGATCTCCTCGAGGGTGTGATTAACATTCTGACCCTTGGTAGGAGTTACGTGGGTCGAGGTGCTCTCGTTTCTAACGGTAAACGTGGATATCGAGCTTGAGATGCTTGTGGTAACTTCCACGATACTGGACGTGTTCACGGGAAGTTTCGTCAAGGGTGTTGGTTTCGTCGTGCTGGGTCTTGGTCTCGTAACGCTAACCGTTGAACCTACAGTTGACGATAATGGCTTCGTACCCTCGGTGGTTGTCGTGGCGCTAGCGTATTCAGGTCTAGTAATCTTCGTCGTCGTACTAGTGATCTTAGTAGGTTTCAGCTTCGTTGTAGTTGACGATGATGGTTTAGTCGTGATCGGTCTGTTAATTGTTGTTTTAGTCGTAGTGGATGGTCTCGCGGTGGTTGTTCTGACCGTCGATGTCGGTTTCAAGGTTGTCTTCGGCGTTGTCGTTTTGGTAGATCCTTTGTGATCCAAATTCGTAGGCGTAATAGTTGTTTTCTGAATTGTATTGGTAGTTGCCGTCGTTGCAGTTGATGGTCTAATTCCAGTGGAGGCTAAAGTACTTTCCGTTGCTCGATCTGCACTTGTACTGAAAGATCCATTGCTGAATGAGCCAGAGGTTGAATGAGGCTTAGTTGTCGCCGGTAAAGTGGTGCCGAAGCTGGAATTCGTAAGAGGCTTCGTTGGAGTTGAAGGTCTCTTTGTCAACGTAGTGGGCTTCTTCGTAGTCACCACTGGGCGTTTTGTTATCACGGTGGTACTAGGTCTCTTAGTGCTAGGCTTTCTCGTAGTCGTCTGATTTAATGGTTTAATCGACGTCGTATTTCTTGGTGGGAATCTGGTTGAAGGCATCACTTTTTGCGTGGTAATCGTGAGAACGTTCTTTATCGTAGTCGTCGTCGATTCATGTTGAACAATCGGTCGAGTAGTAGAAGAGAGTGGTTTCTGAGAGGTCTGCACTATAGGTTTTTGTACTGTTGTCGTTGAGATAACAGGTTTCTTCGCGGTCGTTTCCGATGTGATAGTCGTCAGTTTCGTTAAATTTAGAGTGCTAGGTCGGAGGGTAGAGTCCAAAATGGTCGGTTTCGTAGGTTGTCTCGTTATACTTGGCGATATATTTGCTGGAATATTTACAGTATTGTTGGTTGCCTTCAACGTGGCTTCCGTGCTAGGTTCCGCAGCGTTTTGCACGGTTTGGAATGTCGAGAGGCGAGTAGTCTGCGTAGTCATTTCTATTGTTGTGATTGTTGGCTTCTTTGTCACGAACTTCGTCGTGTCTGTCATCGTATTTGCTGAAGTCTGCGTGCTTTGCGTATTCAAGAATCCAGATATTGTCTACAAAATTATTAAATTATTAAATTAATTATTATTGTAGATGGCAATGTAGTAGAATCAGTAAATTAATCTTTTAAAAACAACATTGAGAGAGACTGATTGATAGAATTAACTTACCTTTAATTAATTAAAAAAATTATTCTGTTTACAGTAGTTTTGTATAAAGGAAATGAAATCTTTGTGTATCGTGATGCAGAGCGTGTGGCATATATTTCGAATACGATTTATCTTAAATAAAGATTATCACCCCTATACACATTTTGTTAATTAAATCGAACATTTTTATTCAGCGATTTGGTTTAATATGCCAATGGTTACACATATCAATATATATCCAACAAAATTACAATGTTCCTGCATGTTTATAAGTTACACATATTACATGCTGATCATTAAGCGCTTTAATGCAAAACTTTCTTTAATCTTGCATGAATTGTGAGATCACACGAGCTACTGTATTTATCTCGATGACCTCATTCAGAGAAAGTTATTACATATCCGAATGAGCTGAGAAAACATGTCACGTTTCTTTTCACGTATTGTAATTCCAAACTACCGCTTTTTACCATTATTCATTGTCGTCTAAAAACTTATTTCTTTTTTTAAAACTAAAATTTACAAAACAAGATGAAGTTACGCAATATCACATATTATCTTAAATAAAAAGCAAGCGAATTATTTATTATTAATCCACGTTTATTTTATCGAACATTAAGTTCACTGTGGATGATTGGACAGACTATAGTTATGCGCGAAGGACATTACTTCAATTCCATCGAACCGTCTCTAGGAACTCCAGCTGTCATACCGCTCATTTCTACTGACACATGGCAAACCGCGCTAAGCCAGCTCGCTGCTTCATTAGCGATCGTCTACTTGCCGTGATTTGTGAAGCCCCGACTGGTTTCTTTTCATCGGTCGGCTTGAGCTTCGTGAAGTACTCGGGTATGCCGCTGCTCCCGATAGGCCTGTGGGTCGTGATAAACGGCCTTGGCGCCGGCGGACCATCGTCAATGCTGTTGTCTTGCGGAAAGATGTCCGGCTCGTCGTCAATCTTGCAGCAGCTACCGAAGTAGAAACGATCGATGCAGGTACCAAGATGCGTGCCATTTGCTTTCGCACAAGTAAACGCAAACATGCACACACCGGTCTCACCGCTCCTGCGTGACACGCAGGGCAAGTGTCTGATATTTCTTCCCGTGCCTGTAAGAACGAAGAAATGCCATCATTACATTCATCTATGACAAGCCGATTTCCGACCAATTCCATTAAACGTTTTTTTTTCTTAAACAAGTTATTTTAACTCTTCAATGCCACATTATACCGTTTTGTCATAGATACAACACACTGTGTGTATTTACATTACATTACATATTCGACTCAACTTTGATTGCTTATAATTTTCAAAAATAAACATATTCAGAATAAACAGCAAACTAAACATAACATTAATTTTATTGTTTATTATCAATGTTTATAATTTGAAATTTTACACTCAAGAATGTAACTATTATACAACACATGTGGTTAATTATATTTATATTGTTGAGTATAAAATTGTAACACATTGATGTTATCATTTTTAACTAGTGTTTACTTGGCCGTAACAAATTTTTTTTCAATCTATACGCCAAATATTAATAAATGCAACGATATCGAGCAAATGTATGTATGTATATATCTTTATTAATAAAAAAAGTTATAAGCAGTTGAAGTAAATAAAAGTTTAAAAAAACCATTTTTTTAAAAACCGGATATAATCGAGAGTGGCACTGAAGGGTTATAAATATTATTTAAACGCTGTTTTTAAAATGCCATTCAATTCTTGACTTGCGTGCTCAGAATCGTATTAATATCTTTTTACACAGTAGTCTTTCCTCTCATCTAATGCCTCATAAATATGATTCGCCGGAACTTGCCGTCACGATATCTCATACGTGATTCTCTCAGGCGATAGATCAGAATTCTTCCGTTTGAAAGATTATCTCACACATTAATGCGAAAGTAAAGACTCCTTTACCACAGGGAGAAAAACTTCTATAAAATAAAATATTACGAAGTAATGCCGCAAGATGTAATTCTCCCCCCGAATGGCCGTCAACGGTGGTTAGATAAATGCTTCCGTGTTTTCAGATCTCCACTGAGAAGTATATATCAACCTTCACCCGGTGTCTATAACTGTTCATTCACGATGTACGTTCTACATTCCTGCCCGTAATACTTTGCTTTCGTATCGTCAACGTATCTGCTTATAATTCTCTCTTAATGATCTTGATCATTCAACTGCGATTCCTACCGCGAATGATAGGAGACGCGAGATAATTGCGTAATTGATTCATATATTGAAAATATGACGAATAGCTCTGCAAGCGCCAATATCAAGCAGATAAGTAGAATGATAACATTAATAACTATATGATATTTTATTAATATGGAAATTATTAGCTTGTTGACAATATTTATCAAATTTGTTACAAGTCTACAGATATCGGCTGCATTGAATCTATTGGATCTTAAAGCAGTTGCTACCGGTAAACAATTGAAGATCACATATGCATTAATCGGATAACAGGAATCTTTTCTGGATCTTTAGCGCATTATGTGTCGACAGAACGGAAAGTGGATAAACAAACAGATGTCACATAAAATTTTTTTAAAGTCGCGAATATCAGAGGTGTATAACGGAATGACAGAAGTCTGCTTTGACAATGATTCATACGGTCGTGCGATACAGTTAGCTACAAAAGACGCAACGCGCGTCAGAGGAAGATAAAGAAACATGCTCTTCGCTCTGAAATAACACGTGAACTTTCAGACAAAAACGAATAATATTATTGCATCAAGAAAGACTAAAGAGAATACATAAAAAATAGTGCACTCTAGAGGCAATTTAAATTAATCAATTTTTGAAAGAATGAAATAAAATGTGTACTTCATCGACGTTATAAGAGCAAAGATCAGAGTAAGAAGATGTCATAGCGCGCAACTCGCGTGCAACAAACGTCTCATCTTTGATCATTAAAAATTTTAACGGGGTCATCACTCTCGTTGAGAACGATCTCCAATTTGAATTCTTTCATGATTTTAAATCAACGATCGATTGTAAAATGCTAATGCGTACGCTGGCTACATAAAGCGTATGCCACATTATATCGGGGAACGAACGAATTGATGTCAGGCGAGGCGAAGCATCTCGGTACCGTTAAGTTTCAATGTATGGGCTAGTTGCCCGACCCAAATGTGGGTCACAGTCATAGCCTAATGTAACAGCCCGTTTCCCTCTAAGACACCTCATATTCTCTCTCTCTCTCTCTCTCTCTCTCTCTCTCTCTCCTCTCTCTCTCTGCCACCACTTTTCTTTCTTTTTCTTTCTCTCTGAGGTCTTTGGCCTAACGAAATTGCCGTAAACATTCCAGGGTACTCCGACTTGGTATGATTAAACGATCATGCTTGACCCGAGATGCTTGGATGGATCAGGTATGTTCTCAATATAAACATGGAAAATCCATGAACGGTATTCCCGGTATACTCTGTGTGTACTCCAAAGAAAGTGACAGATTACTTAGCGTGGTGAATGCGACGTTGTTGAGTTAACGCTACGCCAAGTTCAGACGAGAGTATGAAGGAAAGAGATAAAGAGATTTCATGATATAAAGTAAAAATTACAGATGTCCGCCACGAAATTAAAGGTTCAATTGAGATTTGTGTTTTATTTTAATAGGCAAGTTGCTTAATATGCCGAATAATCAGTAGTAGCAAGAATGACAGTGACATACAACAGACAGACTGATGTACATAGTTTGTATACTCTAAACTGGCACGAACGGATCATTAAAGCGTCATAGTTTTTCAGCGACTGTTTACTTTCTTTTGCCGGCTTGTCGGGTCGACGGACGTTTCGTGGCTAGTGAAAATCAACCGTAAAATTGTTTGCGGTCCCAGTGCTTGCGTTACCGGGTCAGTTGGTCAGGTTTACTCGCCCAAAAAGTTCTGAACGCCCGGTCACCCTTCTACGTAAAAAATGTGTGCTGGCGGAAGTGACACGTTAGTTAGTCATCAGCATGAAAGAAAGTTGACGAGGCCTTTATGTAGCTGGTGGAATTTCAAGCGGTGCCAGATCATACGGGAGTGCGTAAGCGTGTGTGCGTGTACACCCACGCGAAAAATTTCACTCGCGGCATAGTTCATTGTAGGAAAGTGCTTTATCTGATCGCGACAAACTCGGGTACGGAAGTCTCGCAAAGAAAAAGACCTAGAAGTCATCGAAAAGATCCATATCACTGTATTATCATAGGATTATTATATTATCTGTAGAAATGACATCGTAAAATTGGGTTTATATGAGAAGAGGTTAAATGTCGTGTTGCATGAGCATGTTAATTGAACACAATAAAGCACGAAACGGACAAAACAGTTTCGCTGAAGTATCTAAAACTTTAAGTACATATATTATATGATCTGAAAATGTCTTTGAATTACCATGCAGTATGCTTAGTATGAGCAACGTCGTAAAAAGTTTGGACATTTTAGCAACCAGTTTGAGAGCGCTTTACATAATTATTTTGATGATCCAACAAAATTAGATTTGTATCTAGTTAAATTTTTAGATATTTCAATGAAATTCTTCTTTTCGTGTATGAAAGGTAATGATTCGCGAATAGTCATCTCGTGGATTTATACCACCCAATGAAAACGATCGCACGAAAATCGACCGAGTCGGAGGATGACAGGAACGGAAAAATCACTGTAAGTCACGCGGCTCGATGACCGTGATTGACCCACTTCTACAGAAAACTGACCAGTCCGCCCACGTTCCATTCGAACGTGAATTCAAGGTAGGTTCAATGCCGCTGCACGACGGAGACGGGCGAGCGCTCACGCACACGCGTAGATCGGACATTGCTGTGCCGGTTACTGGTATTTGTGTTCCGATCCGTTACTCAGCTGACATACGAGGAAAATGCAACGAGCGTGAAAGAGCGGGACGAGCAAAGATATGTTGTCAGTCTGTAAGAATCAACATTCTTCACAACTAGATCGTCGTTTTAATTTATAAATATGCGTATTTTGCAATGCTGATTCTAGAAAAACTGGGAGAAATGTTGATAGAGAATAATTTCCTTTTATTATAAAGAATTATTATAAAGAATTCCTAAACAAGCAATATTTTTTTCGAATTTAAATCGGTAAATACTGTTTGTAGTGTTCACGTTGATATTGTCGTTCATAAATATGATGCAGCTCAAAGATATTAATAGATCCGCAATTTTAAGCGGTGTCTTAATATTGTCTGCAATGAATGATCATCATAAGAGGCATAATTTTGAAAGAACGCGATGAGTTTTGGTCGGTTAA